AAATTTATACCTAAATTAATCTTATATGCATGCTCTCCCTTGTCTCTTCATTCTTCCATGCTTGTTTCCATGACTCATAAGTCATAACATAAAAAAATTGTGCAAGGTTTCGGCACTACACGGGAGCCTCGTCTGTTTAAATATTCGGATAAATACCCAAATATTGTAGTTGAGTAAAATTTTTCATATATAATTTAATTGTACGTCTTTTACTTTCTCTCGATGAATTGCAACTCAAAGCAAGCAATTATTAGTTTAGATTTCAAAATCGCAAGTTAAACCTGCACCAGTAAAAAATGGGTTAATGATATGTTTTTTTTACGAGTTAATCATCTATACACTGACAGTATAAATTTTTTTTACACTGGCAATCAATCATATCTCTTAATAGTATCATGTCAGTTGCTTATTAAATGAAATAAAAATAAAATAAAATAATTTAAAAGATATGATTGGTTACCAGTGTAAAAATTTTTACACTGCTAATGTATAGATGATTAACTCTTTTTCTATAAACCATATGTTTTTTTATAAGCAAATAGAATTAACAAGAATACAAAGGATACTCTAATCTATATACAAAATATTTTACAAAAATAAATAAAGAAAGTTAATCCAATCCACGACAACTCAAAAGCTTATAAAAAGAGCGACATAATAAACCTATATCTAACAAATTTTTCATAACCCAGAGAGCTAACAACCAATATGTAATATTAAGAAAGACAGACACTAGGAGAATTGGACCAAGAGAAGAAATCATAATTGAAAGAAGGGAATCTGACCCTTAATCATCTCCATGAGCGTAATTGCACCAGATTTAGCATTTCAGAAACGAGAATTATTTTAGAGCTGAACATGAGATCACTTCTAGCCAACCAGATGGTCCAAACAACAGATAACTAGATAAAAATCCAACAATTATGATACTTCGTAGAATAATAACGAAGCCCATAAAACTGTTCCAAGTTTTGCACACAACAGTTATGCATAACATAATTTAATCCTAATAACCAATTGAAGCACGCCATCCAGAGTTGAAAAGAAACCTCACACTCAAAAAATAAGTGAAAAGTAGTTTCTCCCTTATTCTTACACAAATCACATTCCAACTGTGATGCTTGCAGAACACCTCTTCTAAACAAATTATCTTTAGTTGAGATTCTATTCAATATAACCCTCCAAGTGAAAGTTGAAACTTTTGTTAGAGCAATGCTAGTCCATATCCACCGAAGTATGACATTAGATGCAAATATTATGTCATTCCTCAAGACCTTATAAGCCGAGCTAACTGTATACACCCCTTCTGGTGCAACAATCAAGGATCATTTATCTTCATCAGAAACAATGAACTTTGTACGATTGATAAAATTAACAAGAGTAACTGTATACACCCCTTCTGGTGCAACAATCCAGGATCATTTATCTTCATCAGAAACAATGAACTTTGTACGATTGATAAAATTAACAAGAGTATTCAGAAGTTGCTGCTCCCAGACCACTAATCTTCTTCTCCAGCTCCACTTCCATTTAGCCACTCCCCCCTCCCATTCAGACATTTCAGCAATAGAAGCATTTTTATTAATTGCTATTTGATATAATCGACCAAACCTATGAGCTAGAATTCCATAACCCACCCATTTATCCAACCAAAACTTAGTGTCTACCCCATTTCCAATGACTTTACAGCAATTATTGGACAACCACTCATTACTCACCAAATCCCCAACCTTCAATTCTATAAACCATATGTATAATGAGAAAATCATGTTATGTAGATAGCTAAGTTCTTCTTCGAATATCATAGCAACTACATTTGTAGAATCCAAACTGATCTAAATCATTTATTAAACTACAACAATCTCATATTAATTGATCTTTGTGTACAATGACGATTAACAATGCTATTAAACCGTGAAAATGGATTATTTTTAGTTTCACACTAGTAGAAAAATAGGATACTACGTCACCCATTTTACGTCGCACATACACACATCCGACGTAATAAAAACGCGGTGGCATGGTTCGTAATTTTAGTGAAATTATTTACGTCGGCCCTATTAGGGTCCGACGTAAATTTTAACATCTACGTCGGCTATGCATTGTGTCCGACGTAGATGTTAAAATTTACGTCGGACCCTAATAGGGCCGACGTAAATAATCCAATCGCGAACTCAAAAATTTAAACCCAAACTCTCCCGCGCGTTGTGCAATCCGTCCGCCTCCTCCTCACTTATGTCTACATCTTGCTCTCTTCATTTTCTTCGTTTTGTGCAATCAAGGTAGGTTCTTCATTTTCCCTTTTCTTCGTTTTCTTCATTGACAATGTTTTCTCACTGAAAAAAATGATTTTTTTCATGTCTTGGGGCAGTAGGTTTTTTCTCCCAAATACTTGTTCATCTACATGGCATCTTCTGCTGAGTAACCCGTTCTTCGTTTTGCGTTGCATTCTAAGTTTTTGAAGCTGGGGAAGGAAGTGGCCAAGTTCAGGTTGGAGAATGGGCCGTTCTCCTTGTAGAACGGGTCTCCTTGTAGAACGGGCCGTTCTCCATGGAGAACGGGCCATTCTCCAAGGAGAACGGGCCATTCTCCAACCAGAACGGCCCGTTCTGCTTGCAGTCGTTTTTTTTTTTTTTTATAAATTTTTTACAACTTTTTACGTCGGACCTTGTAATGTCCGACGTAAATTTACGTCGGTTTTCGTGCCCCGACGTAAATTTATGTCTCCCGCTTCTACGTCGCAGCTTTTTCCGACGTAAAATGTATATTTTGTACTAGTGTCAGTCTCTAACTTTCTAAACCATTACATTTTGTATCTTATTTTCTAAATGTTTAGATTTTTTTTCTAAAACTAATAATGTAGGAGATAAAAAATGATGACATTGTAAAATTTAGATATATCTCAAAGAAGGAAAGTTAAAAAATTATACCGTGTTTGAAAGGAAAGACTCAGTTAAGTTAAAAAGAAAATTCCATGTTTTAGGGTAATGAAAACACCATTAATAAAAACTCTTAGAATAGTGGATTTAAGCTTAATTCAACCCTACAAAATTGGCTTGAAAGATAAGGGTTGCTTTCCATTTAAGTTTAACTCAATCCTACAAAATCAGCTTGAAAGGTGAGGATTGTTTTCCACTTATATACTATTCAATTGCCTAATTTCTAATCGATGTAAGACTTGAATTTTTTCCGATAAAAACAATATCAGCCACTATATCTGAATGTACACAGTTAAGAAACAAATAATATCAGCCACTATGTGTGTACGTGACAGAGATGAGTTAATTATATATTGGAATAAAAAATATGATATATATGGCAGTTTATACTTTACATTTTATGTATTCTCTAGCTCCACTATAATTCACTGGTGATTGACATGTATATATCGGGTACACACTAAGGTATCAAGAAAAATAAAGAAAGATCGGTCGAATTTAGAATTTTCTGTACAGAAATTGAATTTATTCTTGATATGGCACATATATATTAAGCCGTCTGCTTCAAATAATATTCAATTAGCTAGTAAAAAGGGCATTAAACCTAATCAAACCACAGCTAACGCAATGTAAGATATTTTTATTTCAAGAATATTTGTGTACACCTTATATGCTATTTCACACCTAAAAAAGCTATGTAAGATATTTTTCTTATGTATATATATTTTTCTTAGGGTGCATTTGGTAGAAAAAAAAATCATATTTGAGAATTACATAATTTCTAAAAATAATTAAAATATATTTGGTTGTCCATAAATATTCTTAAAAATAATTGTCTTAATTGAGAATTAATAATTTTTACTACATTAAATAAAAAATAAGGGTAACATGACATTTTATTAAAGTAAAACTTTTTATTTAACTTAAAAATGTTACACTCTTACCTATTTTCATGAAAACAATTTTGTAGAAAACATAGTTAAAAACAATGTTTCTTAATTATTTTTTAATTAGTAAACCAAACTTGAACAGGTTAAAAAAAAATCTTTGTACCAAACAGCTTTTTAAAATAACGAATTATTCTCTATTTTTATTATTTATTTATTTTTATCAATCTAACGGGTTTAACAAATAACTCATCTTTAACTATTAAATAGAAAAAATAAAATAAAGGATAGATATAGAGATAAAAATTCTTTTAAAATTACACTTATTAACTCATACATATATTTCAGCGATATCTTCATGCAAGGGTTGATAGTTGATACTAAATTTTATGTATGACCTAAACTTGTTTCTCTCCCCCCCATTCACTCTCTCTTTAGTCATTAGATACAACCGATATTATGTATAGGTAATGTTTGATGAGGATCAGCGATTGATGTTCAAGCACAACACACCAACATTCAACTTTTATTCCTAAACTTTGACTGAATTCGATATTGGTATTGCTTGGTGTTGTCATCTTCATGTATACCGCAAAAAATATATAATAACAGTGACAGTATCATTCCCAAGCATGGAATTTAGGATGCTTTGATTGCATTATTGAATTCCCACTTTGTGTTGTGCTAAGAATAATAAGCAAGCAACATTCCAATAATAAGAATAATAAGCAAGCAACATGCCAATAATTAATGAAATCCCAAAACTATTTTCAAAAGTGGATGAAATAGTGGTAATTAAGCTAGCTGCACCTCATTCTTTATTCTCTATGTCAAAAATTGCTGACCACAAACAAAACACCATTTAAGCCAAAAAAGCAACGACACGTTTGCATGCACTAAGCTCGCTATAGTTACACTCATATGTCAGCCTTCAGGAATCCATATGCATGGAATCCAATTCTGAGAACACCCTTCAACCCTTGTCTGAATATATATGCAGAGAGAGATGAAAAAAGGAAATCTAGTGCTCGAGAATCTCACTTATTGAGATTTAGAGACAGTAACCGACTCTGAAACGAAGAAGACTACTCATCTCAAGCATATATAAAGTCTATAAAATTGGACATCACTGAATTTTCTGATAACTATTCAATAGTAGATGATACAATAAACCTAACAACATTCGTTAGGATAAATTTTAGTATCATGTTAAAAATGTAAGTTTGAATTGAATTTAACTCTGTAAAACTAGTTTACATAAGGTGAGAATTCTTTCTATTTACATATTTTATTTGGACTATATTACATGTGGAACTCCAACAGAACATTTGATTGAACTCAACACCTTACAAGAATGTAACCTTGCTGTTGCATAATCTCACCTTCATAAATTGTTGATAAAATTAAATAACAGAATAAAAAGAAATGATATCGATCACTGGAATAAAGTTGCTGATTTGTTTATCTGCTTTTGTCCTTTTCCATGTAGTGTATGTGTATGAATATAAACATTTATATTTTCATTCGAATATCATTACTGATTTATTTATTTACATTTTGTCCTTTCTTGTAAGTATGCATATAAATACTCGAGACCGATTACTGTTACCTAGCTATGACTGAAACCAAAAACCAAAGTTTTGTCCAATATTCATAGTTTTTCTCGAGAAGTTAAGGTTTTCAGATCACACACAGAAAAAAATGATTGGGTGGGAAGATGTGTATAAGGTAGTGGTAGCAGTGGTGCCACTTTACGTAGCTCTGGTGTTAGGGTATGGTTCACTAAAGTGGTGGAACATTTTCACTAGGGAGCAATGTGATGCCATAAACAAATTTGTATGTTACTTCACTTTTCCACTCTTTACATTCGAGTTCACTGCACACATCGACCCTTTCAAGATGAACTACTCCTTCATAGCTGCAGACACCATATCAAAGTTCATCATCATGGTGGTGCTTGCCCTTTGGGCCAAGTGCACTACTAAAGGGAGTTTTTGTTGGTCTATAACAAGTTTCTCTTTGTGCACTCTTACTAATGCTCTTGTTGTTGGAGTTCCAATGGTGAAGCCTATGTACGGAGCCCTTGGTGAGGACCTTGTGGTTCAGTCCTCGGTGGTGCAAGCCATCATATGGCTCACTTTGCTTCTGTTCGTGTTGGAGTTTAGGAGAACGGGAATTCAGGGCACCACCACCTTGAAACCAAGATCAAAAGCAACGATCGTTGACAACGTTAGTAATGTGACTACAAGTGATGGTGTGGCTATTGATGTGAAAGAGGAGTTGGTGTTAGAAGAAACTGTTAGTAGTAGGCTTCCTTTTGGCAAGTTGATGAAGCTTGTGTGGCTCAAACTTGTAATGAACCCAAATTCATATGGCTGTGTGATGGGAATTTCCTGGGCTTTCATATCTAACAGGTATATATATATATACTTGGTTCATAATTTTACAGTGAAAAATGATATTTGTTCAACAATTTATACAACACTATTTTTTTTCATTATATCATTTATGAAAATATAGAGAGAAATAGAAGAAAAAAAATTGATGGTCGATATTTATTGTATGCGAATATCGTTTACTCTTTCATTAAAATTTAGTATCGATGAAAATATATTATCAATATTATAATTAATTAAAGTTAATCATTCTGATGAGCTAGCTGACATGTTTGTTTCCACTAGATACATTCCATATACTTCTTATACATGTTTCATATCCATATGCACGTTGACCATTTGAAATTATCTAAATATATTTCAAATGATTTTTATGTGTTGTAGTGTGAAGTAACGTGTGTGCATGTATATATAGGTGGAATTTGGTGATGCCAAGTATGGTAGAGGGGTCTATACAGATCATGTCAAAGGCCGGGATAGGCACTGCCATGTTTAGTATGGGTGAGTTAATTATATACATGTTTTGGCAATGGATATGACTTCTTGAGTCTTAATAATTGTTATAGTAATGTTACCCATGCCTTTTATAACTCTCCCTAATTTTAATGTTTTTTTATTAGTTAAAATTTATTAAAAATTATAAATTTTAATAAATTTATTGCTGATAGCATGTTTGGATACACGTTATGATCCATAAGCTCACATTTCAATGATTTATTTACAAATTTATTGAGAAACAACAAATTATAACTTTTAAATGGGAATGTTTGAGACATCTCAAACTAGAAAATAAACATGCTATAAACCAAGAGAGATTTATTAAATTCCTAAATATATTTTTAATGTTTCAAATTTAAGTAAATTTGTTTCTAATCCTTAAAATTTAAAATTAAATTTTTTAGTTCTTGTAATTTTAAAAAATATTATTTTAATATTTATATTCAAATTTTATTAGAAAATCTGTCAAATTTTGTTCATAATATCTATTTGATGTCTCTGTTAAAAAAATATTACATTAAATTCAATTGATACTGCATAATTATTTTAACTTATTACTTCCAAATATATTATTCATGACCTAAATAACAAAAATAAATTTTTTGAAAATTATAGAGACTAAAACAATAATTTTAAATTTAAGAGATCAAAAATAAATTTATTCTCAATTTAAAAAATAAAAATATATTTAAATCTTTATTAAACGAGACATGAAATTGATTAAATTTTGTATTTTTTTTTATAAATTTGATAATAAAGAAAATGTTGCTGACATTTGATTACTGTATACACTCCTATGTTTTTATGGGATTCTTATGTTAATTAAGCTCGACCAAGGTACACATTAAATTAGCTTCAGAAGAAGTGGTATGTGATGTGTGATGAGTGCATGCAGGTATTTTCATGGCACTTCAGGAGAATTTGATTGCATGTGGACCAAGTATGACTGTGTTTGGTTTGGTTTTAAAGTTCATTGCGGGACCAGCAGCTATGGCAATCGGTGCCATCGTTGTAGGATTGCACGGTGACGTCTTACGTGTCGCCATCATTCAGGTAATTAATTTCATTCATCAAACACATACTATATGTTTTCGTTACAAAATTCGTGCACCATTTTTAGAAATCATGTATCAGTAGACTTATTTATTTAGTATATATGTTTGTGTGTTTTGGTAGGAAAATTTCAAGCCACATGTCACGTTTTGCTAACTTATTTGATTTGTAAAGCCAGGACTGTTCAACAAGTGCAACAACTTTTTAGTAATTAAAGTAATTAATACTTGATATTGACTTGTGACTGTGACCACTAATTGCAAAAAGAATTCTGGAAAGATCATGTATGCTGATTAATATTCTTATTGTATGAAAAAGTGGTGGTGTGGAACATGGAACAAGTGTATCACACTATATACTGAATGAGCATGTCGTTTCTTTAATCTCGTGTTTAATTATAAAGCAATATTGTGGGTAAACGTACGTGTGATGCCAGTGTAAACAAAATAAGTTAAATAAATCAATTACTTTGTTAAAGTTTTATTGCATTAGGCGTAAACATTTCAGAATAAATAAAATTAGAAAACTTTAGGTTAAAGACAGAATATCTATTAATTTAAATATTATTCATGAAAAACAAAGAATATTGTTCCATTAAATTTTTTATTCTATATATGGTGCAGGCTGCAGTGCCACAGTCCATCACATCCTTCATTTACGCTAAAGAATATGGGTTGCATCCAGAAATTCTCAGCACTGCGTAAGTTTTGTTTTTCTCAGTGATGAAGAATGATAATGAACAGATAATAATTTTCACACATATGAAAGTTGCAGCACAAATTTGGTCATGACATTTTAAGGGTTTGATCGATAAGTAATCCTGTCATTTTTATCTAAGAATCTAATAACATTTTTCTCGATATCGAAATTGTCTATTTTAATTTCTTCTTAGCTTGTTTGTTATTTATTTATTTATTTTTCATTATGGTTCTTCTTAATCACGCTTATATAGTATATTGTTCTTTTGAAGCCATTAATGGTGCATGTATCCTAACATTAATTTTACATATACTTTGTGGTTATCAGGGTGATCTTTGGCATGATTGTTTCTCTTCCCGTCTTAGTTGCCTACTACGCAATTTTGGAGTTTATACATTAAATCAGAGATGTGGTTTATCAAAAGGGTCCAAAACGGAAAATTCAAACTATTTTTTCTTCTTCCCATTAAGTTAAACTGAAAGTACCCTACCCAATTGTACCATGGTGCCCTAGTTATAATTTGTAATTTAGTCTGATTTTGATTCCTATATATTAGCCACCAGCCAGTCAATTATATAAATCTCAAGGAATTAATGTATTACAATCACAAACCTTGAAACCATGTCCATGTATTGATGAGGGGCCTACATATTATTATCTACAATCGGTTCCTTAGAACATATATTATTCTCTCCTTTTCTTAATTATATCATGAATATATATTGAATATTGATTGATATGGCGTATTTAAAGAATACAAAATATAATTTGCAAAATCACACATGAATTTGATGAAATAAAGTAAAACTTTGAATTAATTTTTGAGATTGTATAAGTTGGACATTTTAATTCTTAAAATCTTTAAGGTTTAAATATGCTTTTATTTTCTAAATATATTATTGTTCCGGCCACGGGACGAACTAGGGTTTCCTCTAGGTCAAAATATGGTTGGATATTGTGATTCTAACTATGCTGGGGATCTGGATAATCGTCGATCAACTACTGGCTATGTTTTTACTTTGGCAAAAGCACCGGTATGTTGGAGGTTTACTTTACAGTCAACTGTAGCTTTGTCTACAACAGAGGCAGAGTATATGGCTTTGACAGAGGCTGTGAAGGAAGCAATTTGGCTTCAAGGGTTGCTTGGTGAATTAGGAATTCTACAAAAGCATGTGAAGGTGCATTGTGATAGTCAAAGTGCAATCATGTTGGCAAAGAATCAAACTTACCATGCAAGGACGAAGCATATTGATGTTCGTTACCACTTCATAAGAGAGATTATCGAAGAAGGTGGAGTGGCTATCCAGAAGATAAGGACCACAGAGAATCCAGCTGATATGTTGACAAAGGTAGTAGATTCAATCAA